CAAAGTCTCAAGCTATTAGCAGAGCCCAGGTGACATGATTATGCCCTCGCTGTAAGAGAGGCTACAAGATGATATTTTTTGGCCTCTTCCTATAGATGGTAGGACTCATCAAATGTCAAATTCTCCAAACACAGAAAGGAAGTTCAAAAGCTGCTGAATAGTCAAAAAACAAAATCATGTTAACTATTAATAAATGGCTATGGTGAATGAACACTACTGGGCTGAAAAAGCTAGTGCACCTTTTTAAATACTCACTGTTAGACAGGGAATGCAAAGGGCTTCAGAAGGGACTAGAGCCCAAGTAGGCAATTGGTCATGACAGAATATTGATGAGTTTTTAAATATAAAAAGTTTTATTTTGTGCTTGTTCTTCCCTCTGCCTGGAATATTCTTCTCCCTAGTCTCTAATCAACTAACACCCCTTAAAAAGTCTTTGCTAACCACTCTATGTTAAGTCACCCCTTCTTATTAACCCAGTTGTGCTTTATCCACCTACTTTAGTTATTTTTCTTCATAACACTTTTTACCACCAACCATATTATACATTATTTGCTCTTTTGTCCCCACAGGAAAATAAGCTCTATGGGAACAGGGATTTTGTTGTTTTCATTGTTTTATTCTCAACGCTTAAAAAAGTGGAGAGCATATAGCAGATGCTCAATAAATATTTCCAGAATAATTGAATGGAGAGCTTAACTTGTTAATTGTAATTTTTCATCAGTCATTCTTCAGAAACCAAGACTATAACTTAGATCTGCAAGAGAACTCTAGAGTGCATTAGCATATTTTTTATTGTAATTATTAAATCAAGAAACTGAAAAGATACCTGAAATGTTTTGAGGTTATCAGGATGACTCTTTTTGTGGCAAATGCATTTAAAAATTTTGACAATCAGAAAAGCTTCCACTTTTAGGTAAATATGTTTTTACAAAGGACTTGAAAATTTAGATATATGAAATATGATCTTTAATCCTCTATTCTCCCTGGAACACAGGTTGACATTAAGAATGTCCTTTCCTTAAGTACATGATGATTATATTAACTGAGTCATTTTGGTTAATATCAGTAGGGAAATACTTAACTTATTCATTAGTCTGGAAACCTATATCTAATTTATATACATAAGCAGTTTTCTTTGCTTAGCATGGAATTTAAGGAATCCATAGATGGGATGAAGAGTTTCCATGAATCCCCTGAAATTATGTAAAATGTGTATGTGGGGAGGGGGAAAGTTTACTGCCTTGTGCCCAAAGAAATCTGTAACCCTGAAAGTTCTAGACTATCTTGTGTATAAATGACCACATGTAACTGAGCAGAAGGTAAAATGTTTAGAGCCAACTGCCAGTAAGAAAGTTCCATTGTGCTTATAAATACCTAGTTCTTACTGGTCTTAGAAGTCTCAAAGGTCTTTGCACAGAATTAGAGAGTTAGTGGAATTATTTGGTGAGAGAAAACAAGAATGTTCAAGGGGAATCATAGCGTAAGAATTTTCATTCACAAAGGCTCTTTGAAGAAGAAATGTGTGTTAATTGCTGTGGGCTTTGAATAATAAGTTATTTATTTGATGAGGCTAGAAAAGGTTTGAAAACTTTGCACACTTAAAGTAATGTCCTAAAGCACTTAAATTAATAAAAAGTACTATCTTTAGATTATTATTTGCAGATGATGACTCCAAGACTCTTAGGATTTTACTTGTACTAGGGTTATACTGCAAATTTCAGTTCTTTCACTTGACAACTGTTCAATAAAATAATGTTCCAAGAATTTAAACTTTGCTCCCTGTACCATGCCATACTTGGAGGTGTTATACAAAAAGCAAATGATACACAACTGTCCAGTAACTGATCTGGTAATGCATAAAATGAGGTACACCTTTAAAACATGTTTGGAAAGGAAACAGCTTATGTTGGAATCAGGCCAAAAAAAAGCACAAGAGGACAGTTGTGAATCCATTCTGGGGTGGTCTTGTCATGTCTTAGAGACAGCACATCTTACTAAAGAATGCTGTGCCATACATTTTTAAGAACATATCATGCACTTGTCTCCTTAACTCTGCTTCCCCGAGTCTGCCTTCTCCCTCCATAGTAAAATGGCCTCAAGTCTGGTCCTCGCAGGAAGTCTTCCCCTGCTCATTTTGCTCCTTTCATTTCTACCCATAATCATACTGCCCTTGTGTTGTAATTTAACAGTTTCAAATGTGCATGTGGTTTTTTTCTGCTTGGACTGGAGACTCCTAGAGGGCAATGGCCACACTAAGCTTAGAAAGAAAAACGTATATATATCTCTACTATTTAGAATGACTTTTACTTAAAGATAGCATTACAATAACACAACTTTCCTGAATGTTTATTTCTGAAACTGGCATTTGTGATGGTAGATCCTTCAGGATTTAAGCGTTATGTACTAGGTCAGCCCCAAGATCAAATAGTATTGTTTTGACACAGGCTCACATTTAACTGGAATAAAATTACATAGAACAAAGAGTGGGTATTTGCAATCAATCTGTAGCATATAATCAACATACCAGGGACCATTAATTTCTGACTTTGGTTGCTTTGTAGAGAAGGAAACTCTCTTTTAGCTCTATCACCACTTAGTTATTTTGATTTTCATAATCAATCTTCTTTCTTTTGTTGTACTCTGCCAGTGCATGTACTTACTACATTTTAGCCACTTTAGGCCAAAGCTCCATCAACTTGTTTCTTAGATATTTAATTCTCTATTTCTGGGGTTGATTTTATTTTGCAATATCAATAAATGTATCTTTGAAGCATATAGAGATGAATTTCATCTTCTCAGATTCTTCTAGAACTAGAAACAATTTTTGCCAGCCTCTTCCTCCTAACACGTTTGATTTAAAGTATCTTCCCTTTAAGTGTTTTGATACATAGAATAGTTCTTATTTAGCCAGACCATGTTTCTCTTCCTCTAGAATTGAATTGATGTGGCACCTAACGGCAAGCATGTGCTTGCAGAAAGCACTGGCTTGGCCTAAGATGTCAGGCTACAGTGACTGAGCAGCTCATGCTTGAAGGGGATGATACATTCACATTTACTTATCTCACTCAAGAGCCAGGGATTCTAAAATTATAGCAAAATAACAACAGTGTTGCTGGCTATGGGTGCAGACAAGAAGTAGACAGATTGCAAAGAAATCTGAAATGTGACAGGAAACTACTTTGAAAATCAAAATATTATAAGAAAAGTAGAGTTCGCAGTCCTGAAAAAGACTGTTCCTATGATAATAGCCACAGGAATTTAAAAAATACACATTAAGCAGTCCGTAGTGAAAGTCATCAGAAGCAATATAGCCTAGCATAAATCAAGTCTATGCTCTTTTGAAACCATAATGATAATAACTCACATTTATTGAGCACTTAATTTGTGCCAGGCACTTTGTAGTATTGTTTTCTTTGATTCCCACAACAGTCCTATAGAGCACATAATGCTATAATCACATTTATGGATAAGGAAACTAAAGCTCCGTAATTTACTCACAATCACATGGGTGGTGAGTGGCAAAGCCGGAATATGCACCTGTAGCCATCTGGCTCAAAAGTCTAAGCTCTTAACCACCAAATTACAGACTAGCTATGTTTGCACTGTGGAAGTGTTTCTGTTTCTAGTTGTTGAATCTTTTTTATTATTCATGTTTTGATTCAGAGGGTCTGATCTGCAATGGATTTTGCCCAGTTTCCTTTTGAAGTGTTTGAATCGCATTGGCCCAGGATTTGCAAAAGCGACAGTTCAGAGTCAAAGACAGAGCACTGAACTAGGAGTCTGCAAAAGTGGGGTTTTGTCTCGCCCTGCCAGTAACCTGTGTGGTATCTGATGTTGATTTATCAGCCTATCAGCTGAAACTGAGTCATGAAGAGCCCTTATTTCCACATCCTCTCATGAGTGATTATTTGCAGCCACCACTCCCCAACTGAGGAAGACCCACTCTTTCTTCCGATTCCCACACATCACACACAGCCACAATAAGGGGCCACACTGACCATGCACAAAGAGGCCAGCGGCCCGGTACGGACAAGAAGAAATCAGATAGAGCCCTTAGATCCTTGTCTGTTGTCTTCTACTTGGGTAGTTTTTAAACATTTAAGCATGTGAGTTCAAGACACTGTACTAGGTCCTGATAGTGATAAAATAAGTAAAGATAACGTGAGCGCTTCCTTCAAGAAACATCTAGACTAATAAGAGATCGAATAATACAAAAGAGTAAGTCACGGGGCAGAAGAAGAAACGGAGGGGGCAGGCAGAGAGAGAAGTGAACAAGAAAGGCAGGAGGAAAGGATGGAGGTGTGAGTATGAGCTGAATTTAACCACTTCGGTGCGGTGCTCACCGGCCGTGAAAACTTGCCCACAGCCGGCACTCTCAGTCCGCACGATGGTTTGTGCTGTGCATTGACGACGAATCCGTTTTGCTCTTGTGTGATGAGGAAAGCTTGAGAGCACTGAAATCGTGTTTTACTTTACAGGCAGCTTTACTTGTAACGTAAATCAGACTAGGTAACACATACATATATATTTTCATTATGTTATTTTTAAATGTTCACAATTCTATTTTGATAAATGAAAAATTAGAAAAATCAAGTTTTGTTATTAATGCTAAAGTTGACGCTCAGCTGTGCGCCTTCATGTCACGGCTGTCGGCTAAAGTCGCTGTGCGCGTTCATCTGTGGCTGTCATAGTCAATGCTGGTACCAAAGTGGTTAAAACTACTCAACTCTGGCTCTTTGGAACCCTGGTGCATACGGCCCTTTATGAATAGGAGTCACCTGGCTCCCTCCACATTAATCAGGGGAATAGGATTTAAAATGATGCTCATGTCATTCTCTAGAAAAGTAAGAACTTTTCCTCTCTCCACCAAAATAAAAAGAGAGAGAGAGAGAGTATGTTTTGAAACCACTGGCTTCAGAAGCAAAATGTACACTCTGATCACTGATTTTTTTTCCATCAAATACTCCAGTTAACTCCTCCTTTACCCCTGTCAATCACAGGAGGAAATAAACTAACAAATCAGCCTTTCCACCTAAACTGGGCTTGGATTTCTTTGGAGAAAGAATACTACATCGTGGATGAAGATTCCATGTTCTTAGAGGTGACCCTCACACGCAGAGGATACCTTGGAGAAACATGCTTGATCAGTAAGTAACTTTGGATTGGTTGTTGGTGAAAAGTCATGGAAACATGAAATATAGGCTTAAAAATAATTATATAAGAAAGACTGAAAGAGAATCAATAACTGGCTTGGGGGTGGTGCTCATGACATTCTGAAAAATGCGACACAACACGTGAAAAAATTATGTGTGAGATGGTGCTGAGGTTTTTTCTCCATGGGAGTTATGGCTGAGATATGTATCAATTTTTTGTCCTCCTTCCCTTGTTTTCTTCTTTCTGGCAAGTTACATTCTTTCTCTCTTTTACAATTCAAAGGACTCCAGAGAAATTAAGATGTTTCACAGCCATCCCATAATCCCCAAGTCAATTACCTTCAAAGTTATTTATAAGCCTATATTTAGTAGGCTTAGTTCTAGCTATTTCTTTTGAAAAATTATTTATGAGTACATGATGCCTTGTTGTGTTTAGTCCTAACTATTTCTTTTGATTATGTATAATTGTTTTAACCCTTCAGTTAGGTTATAAATTCCTTGAGGACACACACAGTGTAAAATTTGTCTATGTTCTACAAGGACCTAGTGCAGAAATATGTCTCCTTGGATTAGATACATATGTAATGCCTGCATAATATATCTCATTGTCATCATTAATAATTAACTAATAGTGCATTATATTTTCATAACATCTTTAGCTGCCAGAGCATTCAGAGATCATTTTGCCTTTATTTTCATAACCTATTGAGAAGACAGATAGGGATATATTACCTTCATTTTACAAATGAGCATTCTGTTTCCCAGACATGCAGGACTCCACTCAGAGTCCAGCCAACATATCACAACTGTTGGCAAGAAGCCAGGGAAAAACTGGGCTGGAGAGAAAACAAGCAATCAAGCACAGGCAGGCTTTTCCCCAGTCTCCTCTCTGGGCTTGAGGCTTCTATAATAAGACTGTTCTTTGGGGAGAAAAGGTCAGCCAAAGAGCAACCTGACTTCTGGGTGGCCCTCAGCCTCAGTCTACACCCCTGGGAGCATCATCAACACGTGGCGGGACTCGCTGCCAGGAACTTCAGCTGAGATATGCCTCTTTTCTCTTGTAGGGCTCTGCCTCCACAATTCTTTATCTCGAGGCTTTCTTGTGGGGTTGGGTTAATATGTCAAGAAGTATTTTCATACCCTGGCTTGAGAAGAAAAAAAGGCCATTTGATGGTTTGCAGACTAACTGAAGCCCTCAGAAGACCTTTGGTGTCCCTGGGCAAACCAGCACCTCTGCCACGTCCTATATCCTTGCGCCCCGCTTAATGGGTTTTCACGACACTCAACCATCCTTGGCATGTAGCATGTGTCTCTTTGTCTGTCTTCCCCTGTAGATTTCCAGCTCCATAAGGCCAGGAACTACATCTTGGGTTAGTCCTACCCCAAGAACACCATGGAGCATATAGTAGTCACCAATCTTTGTTGTTAAGTGAAGGACAGTCGGCCTTCTATTCTATGCAATACTACTTAAAACCACTTCAACACCACAGAATGGAACTTCTAAAATATCTTACTCTATTGCTCCAGAAAAGTCTTCATAATGCCTTCGTCCCACCCCACGGTAACAGCCAAAGCACAGGATCTAGAAAAAAAAAGAAACAAAACCATGGAGTTTGACTTCTTGCTCTCATTCTTATTCTTTTTTGTAACATTCAAAAGAATGTTATGTGTAAATTATCCACCTCAAGGTGTGTTTCTGGATTATTTGTAATAATGATTATAAACCAATCTAGCATGGTCATTGGCACTCAGTAGATTGGGGGTCCTCAAACTTTTTAAACAGGGGGCCAGTTCACTGTCCCTCAGACCGTTGGAGGGCTGGACTATAGTTTAAAAAAAAACTATGAACAAATTCCTATGCACACTGCACATATCTTATCTTGAAGTAAAAAAACAAACGGGCAAAAGCACACGCATGTGGCCCATGGGCCGTAGTTTGAGGACGCCTGCAGTAGATGATCAATAAATGGCAACTAGCATTATTATTCCATGGTACTCAACAAGCAGAATTGAAACAACCTGTTCATTTGTTTATCTCCCCACCAATTGAAAACTTCTAGAGGGTAGTGTTGCTGCACCTAATTCTTTGTAACATCCTCAGCACCTCGCACAGAGATGATGCTCACCAAATATTAAGTAAACAGTCACATGCCTGCTTCATCCCTTCAGCAGTGCCACCTACCTCTACACAAGCTCCAGCTGAGGATGTCATTCACCCTTCCTTATGTTCTCCGCTTCCAACATGTGGCCAAAGGAGGCTCTTCCTAAATATTGGACGCTTTTGTTCATTTAGCAAACTAATATGAATGCAGGCTTTCTTCAGCAGTTTTGCAAAAACAACACTAACCATCCTACCTTAGAAATTATTTTCATACTTTATGGCTTTGAGTATCATTTACAAGTTTTCAGATTCTTCGAGAATGGAGCCAAGGAATTACACAAGGGGCTGTTAACCTCATTTTATGTCAAGTTTTCACCATAGCTCATCTCAGGTCATAATATTCGATTTTGCACATTAGCTGACTGCAGAGCTAACAGTGAGACCTACAGAGGTGAGGCATGGGTACTGTTGCTTCACTGACCCTTTAACATCGATATGTTAAAATCAAAACTAAGCAATACTAGAATGTTGCTTGAACATTTTGGGTTGAGGGAAGATCTATTATACTTAGTCTTAATGGGGTAGCACCTTTCACAGTTATATCTCACATTGGGTATTTTTAATACTATTTTGTTGGCCTTGTAGTCCCTTCAGAATTCCTATCGCATAACAGAGCTCAAATCTATCCCCACTCTCCATTTCCACGAGTGCTGCACTAAATTGCCTGAAAAATTACTAAGAATTTTCTCACAATCAAAAATCACTAAACACATGAAACCAGCCACCATGAGTAAGGCTCTGCATGAGAAAACAACCTACAGAGTCATTCTTTCAAAGACTGTGGAAATTGGAATTATCAGATGCAAAATGTTCACTCAAAAATATTTACTGAATACCTACTATGTGCCAGACACTGTCCTAATCCCCAGGAATTCACCAGTGAACAAAACAGCCAAAGACTTCTGCCTCCATAGAGTTCATATTCTAGCATCTCTCTCTTTAGACTATGAGCTCTCTGGGGGATGGGATGGTTTCTTACTAATCTCTGAATCCCCAGCACCTGGGAGAGTTTGGCACATCCAAGGCCCTCAGTGAACATTTTCAGGAATAAATAACTTAATGATTGTTCTCTTCTTTTTATCTGGCCTTCCTCCTTACCTACTTTCCTCTCATTTTGCTTCTGCTTACTACTCTCTATCAGCCAAGAAGGTTATTTACAAGGGTCTTTAAGGAGCATTAAAAGAAACAATTTCTATGTTATCTACTTTCATTAACAATAGGAACTACTTTGGAAGGAGAATATTCCTTTACTCACGTGGCTTTATACTTACAGTTTCCTGATTTTTATTCAGGCATTGTAACCAAAGATGAAACTGCAAAAAGAGATAAAGATTTTAAAGGAAAGGCCAACAAACAGGTCCAATTCAATCCTGGACAGACCACAGCCACATGGAGAGTGAGCATTGTATCTGACAGTGAGTACGAGACTTCAGAGACCTTCCAGATCATTCTGTCAGAACCTGTCATGGCTGCACTGGAGTTTCCAGAAATGGCAACAGTTGAAATTGTGGACCCTGACGATGGTAAGTGACACAGATTGATATGCCTTATTAACCCTCACAGGCTTGTAGGTCCATTTCAGGTAACCATACTTCCCTCGGGGTCCATAGCCACTAGATGCGTTCATGTCCATTAGGATTTAAAGTGAAGTAAATCACTTTAAGACAATAATTTTTCATTTATTCTTAGGATTTTTGAAAATAAACATAGTAGATTAAAATAGAGAGGATCTTTATTAGCGTTTCTTTTACACATAAACAAGTCCTCACTGTAAGCTTTCTGCACAGCATAGGTGTGGACCAGCTCTGCTCCTACATGGCTAATCCTCTGGACTCATTCCAGACCTTCCATCTTTTCATGGGCTTCTGGGAGCCCTGCAGCCCACATACCAGATCAAAAGGGGACCTGGAGATCATTGTCCTAGATGGCTTCTGGGTTGGTTACCAGCCAAACCATTAGTTTTAACTCACGTTCCAGGAGGTTCTAGTGTTGTACACATCATATTCTTGAATTCATTGGTTTGTTTTATGCATTCATTCATTTAGCAAATATTTCCTGAGAAATTAAAAAGAAAAAAATTCTAACTAGTAATCATTCTGTTTGCTGCCCCTTTTCATGAAAGTACAAGAATATTTCTTAAACGGGGATTTTAGTATTCATCTTTGGATTTTAATTAGGCATGCTGAGTATGATAGAAATGGAAATAATTCATGTAGCATCTGGAAGTGCATAGCTTGTAAGCATGGAGTGGGTCTTAAGTTCCACAGGCCTCTGAAGAATGCCCTATACCGGCATGTCCCAAACTGAATAAGAGAACACTAGTATAACTGAATGTCTACAAAGGGATAGAAAGCTTTTCATGGTCAAATATATCTAGAAACCAAGTCAAACTTCATCCCTCTTTTGAAGCATCATAATTCATATTAGCATATTAAGGATTATGAGAAACTCTTCTATAAAGAAACCTATTTAACTTCATTTTACCCAGTTTTCCCAGACTGGACCATGGATTCTTTTTTGTCATACCCAAGAAATATCCTTTAAAAATTTCTGCATTCCAGTTTTTTTGAAGCACAATTTGAGAAATACTCTTCTATATGCTCTGCACTTGGGCAGATACAAAAGAAGCAGAAAACACCTCCACCCCCAACCAACGAACAAGATATCGAACGGTTTTATTGATAGTAACACTTAGATACATGAATCAGTTATGAAGTGAATGTGAAACACATGGGGCAAACAGCAAGTGTTCTCAGAGAAGAATGTCTAGAGATCTTCGTGGTCCTAAGCAAGTAAGGCTCGTGGAGGAGGCAGGGTTTGAGCTGAGTCTTAAAGAGTGAATGGGATTTTGATCAGAAGAGCAGATAGGAGGCAGCTTTCTAGACTGGGAAAATAGAGGACATGCCTAAATAACAGTCCTATTGTATCAATTTGTTTCACATGTCTTTTATAATGTCAACTTAGTTTCAGTTTCTTCCACGATGCCAACTTTTTGTCAAGATAGTAGACTGTCAGAAGGGGTAAAGTGGAGGAAAGAAAATTATCATTGCTCCTTTTCTCCTGTAACTCAGAACCAGTGTTTTCCTAGGTCTTGATACTAGTAGCTGCTGAAAGTAATTTGGGCAGGAAAGGAATGATGACAAAAGTTAATATATGATAACTAGATAATTTAACATCAATTTCTTAATTATCACTTAGTAATAATTCCTAAAGAAAAAAAGATGACATCTTACAATATTTTCCCTTCTTGCTTGCATCATCAGTTCAGTCTCAGAACCTATGATCCTACTTTTTTATATGTCAGTGAGGAAGAATTTATTCTTCTAGTTCTTCTTCTCTCCCAATGTTTTTTTTTAATACGATGTCCCCACATTATTGTCTGAGAATACTAATGATGGACATTTCAATCAGGTAGCAAGGGTAGGCGATGCCTCGGCAGATGGAAACTATAATAGTGGGGCCTTGAGAACCCCATCAATGAGTAGGGACAACCTCCTTTACAATTTTGTATTTTTAAACAAACACACATATTTTAATTATGCAATGCATGCTTAATGGAAAGGCTTGGAAAACATTAAAAATCCCAAAGAAAAATAGTACACATAATTCCATCAATAAGATATGACCAATAGTCATATTGTTATTTCAGTGAATGATAATATAATTTCAGTGTTGATAATATGTAGGGATATGCACACACACATATGTATACACAGGCATGCAGACATATACAACTCAGTACATTTCAGTAGGAATGTTTGTTTTAAAAATTGAGGACAGGACCGGTAGCTTATTTTTCTCAACATATTAAATGACCAGCACAGTGTCTTACACACAGTGTCTGCTCAATAAGTATTGAATGAGTTGTTTGTTGAATGAAGCAAGAAAATATTTTTCATTAATAAATTAGATTACCTGATTGTTAATAGCATTAAAAAAAAAAGAAAGTCAAAGTAAAACAAGGACCAAAATAAGTAATCTCTATTTAGAAGACCTAAAATTTGACCTGGAAAAAAAAAGATGCAGAATTGCTGCAAGATTTCTTTCCATTTTAATACTGGCTATCCTTTTTAACCTTTCAAAAGGGATCTCCTAAACCCAATTCCACTGCCTCTTCAGCCCCACTTAATAATAAATTATATTTCCCCTTTTCACTATCTTTAATATAGTCATGTTGGAAAATGTAGGGGTCAAAGACTATGTATATTTCTGCTCAGATGTGATAAAATATCACCTATCAAATCTAAATCTTGCTAAAAAGTCTACTGTCATCTTTTCTAGAATCAACAGTCTATATTCCAGAGGCAGAATACAAAATAGAGGAGGATGTCGGGGAGCTTTTGATTCCAGTAAGACGGTCTGGAGATGCAAGCCAGGAACTCATGGTCATTTGCTCTACACATCAAGGTATGAGGCTCTTTGGGGCCCTTGCGTGCAGGAGTAAGATGATTAGAAAGGGACTGTGGTGAGGCTGGGAGCAGCACAGTGGTGAGCAAAGCCCAGGTGAGGTGCTGAGACACCTTCACCACCCACGCCTGCTGCTGCCCTCTGCTGGCCCCGTACAGGTGCCCTAACTCATCTGAGCTGGGCTCCTCAACCAGGGATAAAATTATATTCAAAATTGGGATGAAAACATCAGACCTGACTACCTCACAAAGTTTTGTGAGGATGGAATTAACCATTTATGTGAAAATAACATATATACGCTGGTGGGAAATATAAATAAGGGACTCTTATTTTTAATATTCAGCATTGCCTCTGGGCGATATTGCAAAGTAGTGTGTATATTTTATTCAGTCTTTCTTCTTCTTCTCCTCCCTTCCCATCTCTCAACTATACATGGGCCCCAACCATGTGTCTCATGAGTATCAACTACATGTGGCCCCAACCATGGGCCCACGTGTCCTCACACCCCAAAACAAGGTTCTATTCTCTCTGACCTGTCCACTTCCGTAAGCCAAAATTTAGCTGTTCCATGTCCCACCCCCTCAAGGTCATATTCTCTAACTCATTTGTAACTATGTAATAAACAAAAATTATGAAAATAAACGAAGAACACCCAAATGAGAACCAAAAAAGGCTATTTATTCAGAGCCTGCTATAGCAAGGAAGTCAGCCACCATTACTTACATTTGGCGGAGACTCGAAGGCAGGCAGAGGAGTGGGAAAGCTTTATAGTGGGAAAAGGGAAGGTATCGGGTATGCCCTGCTAGGAAGTTGGTGGCTTGGGGAGCCGCAGGCAGGCTCAGTAGATGCAGGCATCCTATGATGTTGGTCAGGAGAGCATATTTGGCTTTCTCTGGTTCTAACTTCCTAAGAAGTGGGAGCAAAAACTAGGGAAGCTGGCAATTATTGATTAAGTACTGACCATTTGATTGCTGGTTACTATAGGGGTTTTGGCTTGGCCTCCTGGACTAATTGCTGCAGATTATGGGTCAGAGTTTTCTGGTTTTATATATGGTCTGTCCATTGTCCATTCATATATTCAGTCTCTCCAAATCTATGCTCCTACTTTTTGATATGTCAGTGAAGAATTGATTCCTCCAGCTTTTCTTCGCTCCCTAACAATTTTTTTAATACCATGCCCCCAAATCATTGTCTGAGAATACTGATGATGGACGTAGTGAGGCGGGCGGTGCCCTGGCAGATGGAAACTGGAATGGTGAGGACTGGAGACCTCCATCAAAGCACAGCATCAAACTAGCTGCCTCCTTCACTTATCTGTAATCATGTTCAGCATTTGTTAATGATTATCAGCATACAAAGGATGAATCTGCTTTCCATTCAACTATTTACACACCTTATGTTCATTTTATACATGAAAATAAGTGTTAAACATTTATTTTAACAAGACTTCCAGAGGTTTAAATAACCAAATTGATCTCTCATCCTCTGAGATATTTAAATTTACATGAGAGTAGGTGAAGAGAAATACTGCAATGGTGCTGGCTATGAGTATAAGAAGATTTACAATTTTCACTCCCTTATACACAAAGAGGTATGCAAGACTCAGGGTGCTACCATGCATATGGTGACTTAGTGCCCCAGCAGGGCCCCTGACTCTGTTATAATCTTTTTGTCTTTCTTTTTTTTTTAAACCACAAACAGCCTTTTTATGTGTAGTCAAGAGTCCCTTCTATAGGTCATGGGGTTTCAGGTTTTGAGTTTTGCGGGTTTATTTACATTTTTGTTTTTGGGTTTTATTTTTTCTTTGGCCTCTGATAATTGTTCATACTTCCTGTGAGCACAGAAAGGCCAGAATAATTATTTCTTCTACTCGTTTTGTAGTGTGAGGGTGTCCCAGAGTACCTAGCGGGCCAAACCTGCTGGAAACCGGAAGCCCCAAAGCCTCCTCCAGCTAGAAGCTCCCACTTCCTCCTCCTCCCCAATCACAGACCCTGCAGGGCAGGAAGTGACCCGTGCCTGGGGGCCAGCATCCTCCTGCTCCAACCAGGTCCTGCTCCAACCAGGTGTTAAATGCCTTACTTTTAAACCGGGCCATCGTTTATCTTGCTGCCCTATTAAAAAGTATAGATTAAAGGAAATTTGTATGTTTAAAAGAATTTATAAGGCCGCCTGGCGGGGTGGCTCACGCCTGTAATCCTAGCACTCTGGGAGGCCAAGGCAGGCGGATTGCTCAAGGTCAGGAGTTCAAAACCAGCCTGAGCAAGAGCTAGACCCATCTCTACTAAAAATAGAAAGAAATTAATTGGCCAACTAAAACTATGTAGAAAAAATTAGCCAGGCATGGTGGAGCATGCCTATAGTCCCAGCTACTGGGGCGGGGAATGAGGGGAGGAGGATTGCTTGAGCGCAGGAGTTTGAGGTTGCTGTGAGCTAGGCTGACGCCACAGACACTCTTGCCAGGACAACACAACGAGACTCTGTCTCAAATAATAATAATAATTTATAATCAAAGAAGATAATAACGAAGGACAATGTGGGGAAGTAAAAAATGTCACAAGCTAACTAGCAGGAGATGGGTCTTTTGGCTCCTGGACAACATAAAACGCCCTGGCCACCTCCTAAAGTAATCAAATACCATAAGATAATGATTCAGTTATCCTTGAATGTAGTTTCCTGGTGGGACTTTCTCACTGAGTAACATTTATGGTTTTTATAAAGTAAGTGTAATATGTAGCCACAGAGACTGAGCCATATATACTCTTTTGTAAAGAAATAATTTTTAAAATATCTTCATGTGCTGGCAGACTGCCAGTGCAGTGAGGGAGGCCTGGCAGCCCTTATCATCACAGATGGGGTGGTGTGCTGGTCCGGCTGCTCCCATGGGCTGGTGGTGCACGTTCCTTCCTGACTCTAAGTTCAGTGATTTCACAGTGATAGTCAGAATTGGCCAGGGTTGGAATATTTATACAACAAAAATCAGCCAAGGTTACAAATCAGGGTTTTTGTGTCCTTCATTTTGTTCTGGTTTGTCTTGTTTTGTTTGGAGAGCTGCTTGTTAAACATTTTTCATCAGACCACCACTCTGAAGGAGGGAGTTCATAGGGTTATGTGGAATGAGTCCTTTGGTTCTAACCTTAATTTTGGAGAATTAAACCCATACCCAGTAAGACTGTTTGTTCATCCATCTTGACTTATAACTCTGCAAACAACAAGGGACATTTTGTGTGAATCTTCTTTAATGTTTCTCAAAAGATGCTATGTACTACTATTGGTCAAGCTGCCCTGACAAAGCTTGAGACCCAATTACTAACATGTCTTTTTGATAACCGCCTTAAAACCACACATTCATACTTCTTGGAGATTCTTCACTATTAAATAAGGAGTATGTAGAGACCATAGCCAGAGACTTTATCTTCTACCTCAGGTTTTATGTGATGTTTTCCAAACCAAATTTTCTCTCTAAGTCCTGGGGATTCTTAACTTGCTGCAGATAAAATAGAGATTTTTTTTTTACTTAATTAATGCCAGTATTCTGTGTTCTTAACTACTAAATATAACTGATCAAATTGTTTCCCAAAGTAAATTTTCTAAAATCCCAAAAGGAATGGGCCATTTAGATAAACCAAAGTTTTATTAAATAACATTTAATTAGACAATTTATTTTATCAACTCATTTTAAAAGCTTGCTGAAATGTATTTTTTGCTTTCTATTTTGGAAGACTTCCATAGCCAAATGATTTTCAAGAAGAATTCTAGTTTAGTATTTCATTTAACCCAGAAATCTACCAACTTAAATGCCATGTCTATTTCAACAAGGCATTGGTCAGCTAAAAATATTAAACAAAAAAGGGGAAAAGCTCAATCGCTTTTGTTTCCTGAACTATTGGATAAATCATTATTTGACTACTTATTAGGTAAAATATATTGAGAAAGAGATTTAATACAGTTATATTTAATGAAGACAGTATGAGTGTCCAGTGTGTACAGTATCTGCTTTTACCATTTATACTGAGGAACGAAACATTGTTTCTGACAAGCATCTTTTGTCATTCCACTTGTCATTCCAACATTCTGCACACTTGATGACTAGGCAAAATAAAAAAGGCATTCTTCAAGGTATAGTCCGTCTTAGATATCTGGGTCTTTAAAAAGGCATTCCAAAGGCTGGCTGTTACTTAGTCCGTTGTAAGAGCTTTTCTCCTTTTTGTCTGAGTTTTCTGTAACTCAGAAAGTATCCTATCCCTGCCAGACAGAGTGTTATCTTATCCTGTGAGCCTTTCTATACTGCTAGCCACTTACTCGCCCCTTCCCATTTGGTTGGGGAGTGCCTGTTTCCTGCATTTAGTGATAACACTTGTATCTCACATTCCAAGAACCAGCCTCTCCTGAATGACTTGAGCTTAGAGGACTCTTTCATGCTTAGCTTCTCCCGGGGAAGGAACGCCATGAAGGAATAAGATTAAAAAGCTCAGACCCACACTGAAACGTGGCTAACTTCCCCTCCCAGTGATAGTTCCCTTGAAATGGATAGTCTGTCCGTTTCTCTCCTCTGACCCACCAAACATTTTATTCTCAACAACTCTCCAGCTATGACTTTTTTGTATGTTCCCAGAATTTGTTACTTCCTGATAATTCTAAAATTGGTTCCTTTGAAAAACCATTCTAAAACACTTTGTGAGTCAGTGCCCTTCCAAGCAAAGCCTCTGAACTCAGTTGGAAACCGCTTTCATTTTTTAACAATGTATAACTATACATGTAACACAAAGTTTGAGATATAAACTTGCATTTACGTCAGAAGGTGGTAGCCATTGGTGATCATGCATTGGACATAGACCATAGCTATAAGCAAGAAGGCCCTTCACAAGACTGGAGCAGCCAGTCCGGAAGCTCACTGTCCTATCCCCACTGCTTCTTATTAAGATGAGGTATGGTGGGAAATATTTATGCTTTTCAAAAATTGCTTACCTTGTATACTGAGTTATTTATAGTCTTTGTTCTGCCTAAATCTGGTCTGCCTAAATCATTTAGGCAGTTTACCATGACTACTTTTCACCCTTTTTGCTCTAAACCTATGTGTTGCTGTTTTTAATACTGTAAAAATGCACTGAATCCCAGAATTCCTACTCCTAAATATTCACTCCAGAGAAATAAAATTATGTCCCCAGTCAAACACCAGGACCAGAATATTCATAGCATTGCTCAGAATAACTAAGATAGAAACAAACCAAATTGTCAACTGGTAAATGGATAAACTGTGGTGTAGCCGCACAATGGGGGACAGTAGTCAGCAAAAGGAGAGAAATCATGATACATGGACGAATCTCAAAAGCATTGTGCTAAATAAAAGAATCCAGATACAGAAGACTAAGTATTGTATGGTTCCATTTATATTGAAATTCTCATAAAGGCAAATAAGTCTATAGTGACAGAAAGCAGATCTGTGGTTCCCAGAAGCTGAGAGATAGGGAAGGAATGGATTGCAAGGAGTGCAAGTCACTTTTGTGGATGGATAAAAATGTTCTCTGTTATGATTGTGGTGGAGGTCACATAATTACACACAGTTGCTACAACTCTTCAAATTGTGCATTTACATTGGTGAATCTTAATTCAAGTAAATTATTATAATAAAATTTTAAATGTACTGAATCGAACCTGAAATTTTCTAATCAAGCCTGCACTCCTTGTAAAATAACAGGTAACCTTGTGGCTGTGTTATGGTGTCATATGGGGTGTGAGGATCAGATTACACAGATGCTGCTCACAGCTCTGCCACTATGGGCAGAACAGGAGCAGGAAAAACTCTACATGATTATCAAGCTGTGGATTCTCTAGTTCTAATTTCACTGCAACTCAGTTTCCCATTCATAACATGAAAGAATTGGGCTAAACCAGACCTGCCATCCTATAGCCCTCCAGTTCATTTAACCCCTAATCTACACAAACCTTATTCAATATACCCTATTTAAGGACCACTAAATCTGGATCATGTTAAAATACTAGAGTCTATTCTGAAAGCCTTTTAATTACAATATTAATATTTGTAATGGAAGAGGTAAGTGCGTTATCATTCAGATAATTATTATCTAAAAATAGGTTGAAGCACCACCAGTAGGGGGCAGGCTTCCTGTTTGGGATTCCATTTCTTCTCATCCCTGTTCCTTCTCATATTTCTATAGGTTCTGCCACGGGCACGGTTCCTCCAGCAGTGTTCTCTTTTTCTGATTACATCTCACGTCCCGAAGACCACACCAGCATCCTCCGCTTTGGCAAGGATGAGACTGAGAAGACCTGCCGGGTCCTGATTGTCGATGACTCCCTTTATGAAGAGGAGGAATCCTTCAGGGTTTCACTGAGCCTGCCAGTGGGAGGGCGATTGGGAGCCAAGTTCCCCACCACCAAGGTGACCATCCTGGCTGATCACGCTGACGGTAAGTCCATTTCCTGTTTAGGACTCTTGGCAATAGCTGCCTTCTTCTTGCACTTTCCCTCAACAGTTCAAAGGCAAATCTAGCTTAAATGATCTTTTAAAAGACTATTTTGTGTTCTTCAAAAACTGTAAGTAGCTTTTCAAATACATAGACATCACCAACACCAAGGACAATGTAGCAATGCAGGAAAATTAAATATTTGTGTATATCTTTTAAAAAAAAAAGCAAAAAAAAAAAAAAAGCACAGCCCAAGGAGGTGACCTAAAACTTGGAAGGAAGCCAAGAAGAGGACCTAAATCAAGTATCTACACACCCAACCAGGACTGCCCTAAGAGCACCCTCATCTTAGCAGCGTAAGGATCATCCCTCCCTCACAACAGTAAGTGCATGAGTCACCAGGTGGCACAGGGGGCCTCATGTGTAGCAACTGGACTTTCTCCTAGGATGACCTGGCAGGACATTTGGCCCCAGTCCCTGGGGAGCCCAGCTGAAATTCAGCCAGAGAAAAGTTCTCCTCACTCCTCCAAGCCAGCCCTGTTCTCCCAGATGTGATAAGAGGCACCAAGCCCAGTATTATTTTTCTAGGTCTCAATTGCCCTTTCTATAAGGAGCACTTTAAAAAAAAAAAAAGGGTTATAAAGACAGGCCAGGATGAGACTATTTTATTACTAGGCTCAAGTTGGTTTTACTGCTTCCTCTCTCACCATGCCTCTGTGAGGATCTGAGTGGCTGTGAGTTGCTGTGCTCAGATCTAAGCAGGGTTAGACTGGGCTGCTGTTATAGACCCCAGATAAATGTGACTGCTGTATAGACAGCACAGAGCTTCCATTAATCAGAGAGCTGTGCCAAGAGATAAACACAGATTGAGTTTGAACAGTGTATATTTGCTCCAGGTGGGTATGGTGAATATATCATGTACTACATTATTTTGTTTGAGATTATGTCTTTAAAACAACCATAGAACAAGGGAAAACATGACTGAAATTAGAGGTGTTGTTTTGTTTGTTGTGTGGTCTTCTCAATTGCTTTGCTTAGTACTATTGCACCCTATGGAGCGGAACTCAGAAATGTGCTATAGACCAATTTTGCTCCATTAAAAAGAAAAAAAATTTCAAGGACTAAGCTCAGTTCCAAAACACAAGTTTACAAGTATCAAAAACTAAGAATAAGGATAGGCCCTGAGGTGGATGCTTTCGTCATTGTATGCTTTTCTTCTCAAAAATTTCTTCATTAGATTTAAGATAGCAATTGTTTTTCTTAAAATAATGTGTATGAATTTTTAGTATACTTCTCTATGGAAGTTTAGTATTTTATTTTATTGTATTTTCTTTAAACCAAAGAGATATCGGGGAGTGCCTACTAGAAATATTAACCTCGATCATCTAGTTTTATTGGAAATAAATTGTTTTGGAAAGAGAAATACCACTCACACTATCTTATATACAAATTACCTCCTGTTTTCCCGGCTGGGTGCGGTGGCTCACACCTGTAATTCTAGCACTTTGGCATGCTGAGGCGGAAGGATCACTTGAAGCCAGGTGTTCAAGATCTGCTGTTTTCCCAGCAGAAGAGAAGACATTTTCCTATCCTCCATCTTTTGGTATCCATCCTGTTCTGTGTGGTTTCTCAAAGTCTACCATCAGTATTTGTTATCTCACCTGCAGGACTTGGCATCAGATTTCTCTGAATAGGAACACTGAACTCATTTTAAATGTTGATCATATCTCTTTTGAGAGCTTCACTTCCCAACTTGCCTTATTTCCGTTCCCTATTTCCATTTAAAGAACATTGTCTTTTACAGGAGATAAAAATGCATCTATGGCTGTGGAATACACTTAACATGAGCACGATGTGGCCAAACATCATGCTCCCATCATTGCCCGTCCTTGGGAATCATTGCTAGTATCTCAATTTTTCAGCCAGAGCTAAGGTGAGGACTATCTGGAAACTATACTGAGCTTTGCGGAGGAGCTGTTTTCTCTATTACAACAAATCTCCTAATGTGCAATGCATAGAGCATCTGGAAAGAATTTCGTGATGCTTTTTCCAAGTGGCACTTTCCTCTCATACCTTATATTTTACTGTATTCTTACACTTTTTTTCTCTGAACAGCAACATAACTAATCCAAATAGTTTTTTATTTTTCTTCTTACCCTTCCCTAATACCACACAAGATAATTTCTTTGCTAAACAATCAGGTCACTTTGTCCAAACTTAAAAAAAAAAAAAAAAAAAAACCTTTGTGCTGAGTTAAAAATATATCAGAACTGAGTTAAAATTATCCATTTGATAAATCCTTGAGTACTTATACTGGCCACTGTGTCACGGAGAGTACAATGACATACAGAATATGGTCCCTGACCTCAAGAAGTTTATAGAGCTCTGATATGAAGAATAGTACATTAGAACAGTAGCTTTAACATTTTCACTTTCCAAAGAGGTGCTAAATTAAGGGGAGGGGCTCTATGGAGATCATTTGGGAAGTGTGCCCTCTGCAATGTGGAGGACACAGTGGATTGGGATCTGGATCTGCCTGGAAAATCTCAATGTGGGAGATCAGCTGGTTAGTTGCTTTGATGGGTGAGCAAAAGAGAGGGATTGCACTGAGATTAAGCAGTGTTCCTAGAGTTCATCAAGGCAGAGGATGCAGGAGGGTTACTGTAGGCCACTCACGAGCCACGCATGCAAGAGACAGCCAACATAAACTTGTCTTGGGTCTTGTCCAGAAGTACCATCTGGAGGGCTGAACAGTCCTCAACAGAACTTTCACCAAATGCTAATGGGCTGAGGAAGGATTAAGTGACCAGCCAGAATGCAGATGTTTCATCCTTATCAAGGGAACTGCAGATGAGAAATACCCAACTATGAGAGTGAGAGGTCTTCAAAGAACTCACGAAAGTGTTTGTGAGAAACAGAATCAGTTTTTCTTTCATCTTCTAAGACCAGCGAGTACTGACAACCATGGAAATATACATCAAGAAAGAACTTTCCTGCTTGTCCTGCCTCTCCTCCTCCTTTCCTGTCCCAACCTTGAAGGCATCAGAAACATTCATGGGCCATAATGGGGAGAAAGTTCTTGGTAAGAGAGGATGGGATATGCCAGTTACCCTGATCTGATCACTTTATACGTAACAAAACACCACTATGGACCCCAGAAATATGTACAATTATTATGTCAATTGAAAAAAGAAAAGGAGAGGATGTCCCCACCACCCTTCCCTAAGTGCAGGCCTCCCCCTAGCTGCATGTCTGAGTTGAGCAATAGCCAGTGTGACCCATCACTACAGTAATAAAACTATTCCAAATGTTATGGAAACACATGGTAAAGGATGATTAATTTCTCAAAGGAATTAAATACTGCTTTCCAGAGCAAGTAACTTTTTATCAAAGTCTTAAAGAATGAGTAGGCATTCAACAAATTGGCACGTTCCAGCTCAGAGACCATCACCTGCAAAGATGGAGACTCATAAACTCATGCTGTGCTGGGTGCATTGTGAGCTGTTTGGTGTAACTGGGACACGGGGCACAGAGTGGCGTACCGTACCAGATGATTCTGGGGAAAAATGGATTCAAGAAAACAATTTTAAAAAATGGACTCAAATCAGAGTATGAGCGCTCTTATATGCCATGGTAAAACTTCCCTCAGCAGTTGAAAGATCTGCTAAAATATATCTTGAGCAAATAATATTTATTAAATCTGATATCTACCCTTCAAATTTTTAGCTTTAATTCAGATATGCTTTAGGATTGCAATATGTTTGCAAAGGTGTCATCTCTAAAACTAATTTTCCATTTTACAATCTCAGGGGATCATTCATCCATGGAGAAATTGTCTTAATGTTTACATTTTTTTGCCTATAGATACCACAGCCCAAGAAAAACGTTCATTTCAAAATCTTTTTCATGACAGTGTTTATCTAGTGTAACTGCTAAACCTGCATAAGTTCTTAAATAGTCAGCTAAGTTCATAAGCTACTTTTTAGAAGAGAGTGAACCGGGTGTGGATGGGTATGTTTGCTTGGCCAGATCAACATTCCCACTGTCAAACTTTTTGTCCTTTTAGAAGACATACTTTTCCCTTCCACATGCCCCTGAATCATGGTGCCTGTGCCGGTCTCCTTCAGCCTCCTCTTTCTCGGGAGCCACTTCTCAGCCTCTAGGAGTGCATTTCTGGCATCTTAGCTAACTCAATTTCTCCCACTCCCCGACCCACCCAACCCCATCCCCAGCCCTGGGGTGTCTGTCTGTCCATGTGCTCAGCAAATGCCATAGAAAAGGCATGGCAGCAGTCTCCAAACTCAGAATCCTAGCTCAACTGCTTCTTTACATAAAGAGCAATTTTCTCCCGACAAAAAGCCTCCTTAAACTTCCCATCTTTATCCAAACAGTAGCTGACTTGAGTAAGAGGTGATTGGCCAATTTTCCACAATAGGAAAATTTCTTCTATGTGACAGAAAGCTCTTAAAACAGAAAATGAATAGAATCACAACTGATCTTAACTTGTGGCACTTCCTGGAGTCAAAGTCTTGGCATGTGAGTCTTTCATGTGACTTTTTGTGTTTTTTCTTTTCTTCCTGAGCTATATATAAACGGTACCTGTGGGATCTGTCAAGTCTGACAGTTGTGACAAATGCTCAGGCTCACACAGGGCCAGAGGAGACAGTATGCCTGGGAGCCAAAGCATTCTCAGTTTGTCCTTTCCTGACTCCCTAGAACCTGCCCTGCACTTTGGGGATGCTGAGTACCATGTGGATGAAAGTGCTGGCTACGTGGAGGTTTGTGTCTGGAGAACAGGCACTGACCTTTCCCACGCATCATCCATCACCGTGCGCTCCAGGAAGACAGAGCAGGAGTCAGCAGAAGGTGAGTGGGCCACTTAAAGAATGTATCATCATGATACGTGTCTATGATGGGGTCCAGTCTGTCAAGTGTACTCATGCCTCGTCTTTGTTGATGAGCTCTGATTTAAAGTTTCTTCTACCTGAGCACACAGATTGTTTGTATATATTACAACTTCCGCTGTTTACAAAATAAGTAGAATATTCAAACAGCAGCCCTTATGATTCATTTGTTACCCACTTGCTTATTATGGGCTCAAATTAATTTTCCAAAGTTCACAATATTTATAGATCCATTAAGCTGCTCATAAATAATATTTCAGACGAAGTTACCCCCATAATGACAGAGCAAGTCCCAACTGCTGGAAGAATCCAGTCACACATTAGACCTTTGAGGACCAGGTTTTCACTTGTGACTCTTGGGCATTTTCCTTGGCTTTTGTTATGTCCCACTCACCTTTGCATGTCCTGACATGGATGATGAAGACCTCGCTGGCAGTGGGGCTAGGTGACTCTGGATACCACTTCCTCTTGTGAGCCTGTCAGTTGCTTTACCAGATAAAAATAGCAGGACCCAATAGGAAAAGAAAGAAACATTCCCATCTACACTGATGCCCACATTTTCTAATTTGCGGCCAGAACCTTTTGGTCTTCTGGGATAAGGATGGCCAATGTAATTCAGGACTAGCATAATACACATCTAAAACCCATGAGAATAGTTTAAGATAAAAGCAAAGTAAAAGCAAAAAGCCTATAAATAAAACTCAGGAATCTAAAAATCTACACTAGCTGATGAGGCATAAAGAGAGTAAAATATACATTTATCTATGAAAATGGGAACCCAGTTTCATCATGTACCCAGAAACTGTTAAAGAAAATTAAGAAGGCCATTTTGTTTGCCTTTGGAATAATCAACATGTTATAACTCTTCAGTGAATATATCACAGGATACTGTACATCAAACCAGTAATGATCCTTACTAGTTTTCTTCTTTCTTTTTTTAATTTTCAGAGAGGGTCATTTCTTACTGTATGTATCCATGGAACCAAAAGTGAATAAACCAACTGGCATATTGGAACTTTTTTGCATGGGGTTTGGAAAAGAAATTCAAATTCAATTTATATAAATCCCTTTGCATAAAACTTATGATGCTTCTGCTAGTTCTCAGGTAGGGATGGACTGAGAAGTAACGTCCATGCTTGGGGTGGTGATTCATGGGTTTAAGCAGGAGAGTGCAGAGCAAATAGTTTAGACTTGATATGTGACAACTGTTCAGGCTAATTCACCAACTATTAATTTTGCATATATAACATATGATTATAATTTGTTAAATTAATAATAATTATAACTTGATGCCTACAATTTGCCAGATACTGTGCTAGTATCTTTGCTGTATTATCTCTAATCTTCACAATAACCTTGTATGGTAGCTATAATTATCCCCAGTTTGAAATTGAAGAGACTCAAAGAGATTAAATAATTTATGCAAATAAACAATGAACCAAGATTTGAACCAAAGTGCATGAGATACAAAACTTTCTTTCCCAACTTGGTAATTTTCACCATAATCTTGTTTTGTTTTCTTGATGCCTTTTTAAAATTAAAAAAAAATAATCTCAAACTTACAGAAGAGTAACAAGTATGATAAAATTTCTTTTTCCTCCGACCATTGAGAGTTAGTTGCCAGTGAGTCTGGAACCACCTCTCTGAAACTTAGAATGTATTAATAATTCCTAAAAAGATGTTCTTCTATGTAACTACAGAACAAGCATAAAATCAGGAAATTAACTTGATATACTTCTATAATCTAATATATAGACCTCATTTAATTTCCATGAGTTGTCCCGAAATCATTCTTTATAAGAAAAGAATCCAGTTCAGAATCACACATTATATTTAGTTGCCATGTCTGCTTTCATCTCCTTCAATCTAACACAGTTCCTTTGTCCTTTCTTGACTTTTATCACCTTGATTTTTTAAAGATTACAAACCAGTTTTTGTAGCTTATAGAATGTCCTCCCAATTTGGGTTTGTCTACCTCATAATTAGATCCAGGTTATGCATCTTTAGATGATATTGTGTTTTCATTGCATTCTATCCAAAGGCACACAATTTTAATTTACCCATTATTGATGCTGTTAACTTTGGTCACTTGGGTAAAGTGGCACCTGCCAGGTTTCCCCACGATGTTACTTTTTCCTTTTACAATTAATATTTTATGAAGAGATAATGTGAGATAATGCAAATATTCTGTTCCTTGATTTTTTAATGTATTAATTTATATCACTCAAGGATTCCCAATTAATTCCATTCATATGTTGCTATCATCACATTTGATGACTTTTCAAATAAGTAGCAAAGAAGCTATGTGGTCAGGTGGGCTGCCTTGCAAAACTGATTGATAACAATCCAGACAATGGCAGAACTTCATGGCTGAGTAAAACTGAGCAGAATACTGCAAGATTCAACCAGATGTCTGGCAAAGGTGAATGAGGGAAACCTAATCAAAATAAAATTAATGATATTTATCTTCAAAGTTAAAAAAGACAAATCCTTTCATTTCAATTTGAAGCTGCCTTCAGAGAGCCTTCAGTGTAATCAAGTGGGGTCTTTGTGGAAGTGCTTGGAAGGTGATGTGCCTGGTCTAGACATGTGGAGCACTGATGAGGAGGGCACAGGGGCACGGCATTTGGTAGACTATGGAAGTTTCCCCTTTCCAGTGATCAAGCCCACAAAATATGATTCTGGGAGTGCTGAGTACAAAAGAGAATGTGGCAGGGTTGATGAGACCTCTCATTTTTCTCTGAAGGAAAACTTAGGACAGTGAATCACACAGTCTCACTAGTGCCTTTTCCTTTTCCACCAGCTGGAATAGATTATGTTGGGATCATCCGAAATCTGGACTTTGCTCCAGGAATGCGCATGCAGACATTCCAAGTGACAATCCTTGATGACGTGGAACAGCCCATCTTGGAGGGTCCAGAGAGGTTTGAATTACTTCTCCAGATGCCTATGGGTGCGGTACTTGGAGAACCAAATAAAACCACCATTTTCATCAATGACACCATCAGTGACTGTAAGCAGAGTGCTTGTACTTCCTTTCATTGAAAGACAAAGGGAAGGAAAAACAGCCAAAACAACAACAGAATGTCTCCTAACAACAGAATGAAATTCTACTCTTTTTCAACAACCCTGGGATATCAATGATATTGTATTGTCATTGGTGTTATATTCTAGTGATATGTGCAAATATAATTTATGTGACTGCATGGGGATAGAAATATATATATACAGAAGAAAGGATTGAGCCCACAAAGAATTAGCCTGTATTCTTGTTATCCTTTTTCTATTTTCTTTTACTTTCTTTCTGAGGCCAGTGAAACCCATTGTCATCAATTAAGTCAACAGTTAAGATGAAAGGATCACCCTCCCTTTACTGGTTGATGCTGGACTGAAGCATTTTTAAACTACACACACACACACACACACACACACACACACACACACACACACACACACTGGTTGATGCTGGACTGAAGCATTTTTAAACTACACACACACACACACACACACACACACACACACATATATCTCCTCCTTTGGTTTTTCAGGTTATGATGATGCGAATGCTCTGACTAAAATTTGCAGATAAGCCTAAAGCTCCTTTTCGCCAACAGTTCAATTTTTCTCCACAAGTCTTTATCATAGCTGCTAGGCAGGAAAATTTTTCGACTCTCCCTTCTTCTGCACTCTTTTGTAAAAAGAATAATAAACAATAAAGTGATAAAAATGCAAGTAGCAAAAAGGAGAAGAAAGAAAAGTGGAAGATTTGCATAGTTTCCAAACTGTCCAATTAGTTCTTAACTAATTTTAAATTAATGATATACATATAGCCATTAGTAGGCCTCCACTAATGCCACATAAATCAAAGTTTCCAAATTATTTTGAAAATGACACCTTTGTGCCTCATTATTTTTTAAGGTATTTCTTTTGCAAAACTTTTTAAGACAGACATTACTTAACCTATTCTCAAGCCAACATGGTGCATAATAAAACCCATTTCCAGAAGCTTTCCTTCCAAATATCAAGAGAGGATAAGTGGTCTGCATTGAGAAATCCTTGTCTACCAAAAGCCCAGGTTTTGCTTCCTTTTTAGACTTTAGTTTTCCCAACCAGAGAAAACATTTGTATAAGCTACCTCAAAACTCTTGCCCTCACTTCTCGCTCTGTAGAATGAGAAATTCAGACTCAATTTCTGTTAAGATCTCTTCCAGTCCTGTCTGATTCCTGAGTACATATCTACCAACAGAAAATTACCCTCCCTCGCCTAGCTACCAGTCCAAAAATTTTTAAATTCAATTCAACATATATTTATTGGGGTTCTTCTACAGGTCAGAGAGATATGGATGCTTCACAAATGTCAGGAAAAAAGTAATGGAAAAACCACATTTGGACCAGAATGACTCAGATATAGCCAACAGGCCCCACAGATGCCCTGGTTCAGTCCCCAAATGAAGCAACCATCATGAATTTCCTCCTGAGCACCTGTGTGCCCAGGGGAAATTCACATTGTCAGCATTATGGAGAATTCTGTCTTGAACCTGAAATTAATCCCAGTCTTTCAGTGTTTTTCAAAAAATCACTTTCTCTCTCTCTCCCCTTGTACCTTTTGTTAAGGAATTACATTCAGATGAATGCGGTGTCTAGGCATTCATCTTTTTTTCTTCAGACATTATACAGACTGTGTTTTATGTAGTCTGTTCCATTTCTAGTTTCCACCCATTAAGATATGACAGGGAAGCAAAACTACATTTTTTCAGGCTTCTAGGATTAAACCTAGTGTATTCTATATACAGCCTATAGTATATTCTGTAGTTGAATAATGAGTTATCTAGTTCTTGAAAGAGTAAAATATGCCTGATTTTCTACCAAGAATGGAATTGCAAACTATGGAAAATTGGGCTTATTAGTCATTCCTCATATACTCTTCCCTTATGCTAACATTTTTGTAGAAAAAATATTAAGCTTTTTTTTCTCATTTAATACTTTAGTTTTCTTAGAGAGTTGGAATGCATAATGGAGATACACTAGATGTCCCATGATACTGGTGCTACTGTGTAAACTCTAAATGGAAAGGTGTTGTATATTTTATTCTAGTACCCAAGGCCCAATTTAAGGGGTGCACTTACAGGGTGAATGAAAAAGACAGGCAGGCAGCTAAGGGTAGTCATTTACTGGAGTGGAGACACCAGCCACAGGTCCTCTGTGAGCTGCTAGACCCGCCAAGGCTCAGCCCAGGTCACAATGGGCTATGAGGAGCCACCCAACCCTGAGGACTCCACAAATGGCATTCTGCCAGGTAAGCACCAGAATGCTGCTGCTCCTGACCTATTTATAATAACAAATAATTATAAGCAACCTAAATGCCCAATACTTGGGAAGTAAGTTTAATTGAATTATGAGATTTCTGCTTGATAGAATGAATTTCTAGATTATCAGTGATCATGTGGCTATTGCAGTCCTTAAAAATGTGGAAAAGACTAAAAGGATATACCTGGAAAAGGAGATAACTTTGTGTTAGGGTAGTGAGATTATCAGTCATTTTTCTTTTCTAAACTTACTGTATAGTTATTAATATATTGGCAAATATGTGTGCTCATTAGCAAGTTGCTACTACTTACAAAATTAAGGAAATTAAAGAGATCATAATGCCCCTGTCTGTTATAGAATTACAACTTGTAACAGAGTCTCTTGGGGTCCTCTCAGGAATGTGACTTTAGAAAATCGAAACCAGATACCAATAAGCAGGTCACCTAAATTAAGTACAATAGAAGTAAAAACAAAAAGAAAAGGCGAGTGGAGTTCAGGAACTGAGTGCCACCAAGTGTGTCTCTAAATATGATGAAGCAGAGACAAGGAAGTAAAAACACAATAGAATCTGACAGGTACAGTAAGCTGAATTACCACCCCCAAAGATTTCAACTTATATGGAATTTTATCTTATATGGAAAAAAGCATCTTTTTTGCATAGGTAATTAAGAGTCTTGAGATGGGAAGGTTATCTTGGATGGACCCCAAATGTAATAACAAGTGTTCTCATGGAGGTTACATAAAGAAAAGAAGGAGGCACGGTGATCACAAAGGCAGAGATTGGGACTTTGGGATCACAAGCCGAGGAAGGACTGCAGCTGCCAGGAGCTGGACAGGCAAGATGTGGATACTCCTCTAGAGCCTCCAGAGGGGGTGCCTCCTGCCAGCACCCAGAGGTTGTCCCAGTGATACTGATTTTGGATTTCTGGCTTCCAGAAGTATGAGAGTCAATTTCTGTTGGTTTAAGTTGTTAAGTTTGTGGTAATTTGTCACAGCAACCACAGGAAAGGGGTACCACAGGCAATGGGAGATCAGCAGCGTTTGCTGGTTTTGGAAACAAAGAGAAACAAAGAAAAGGAGAAAGCATATTCAGAGCATTCAGTCTTACACTCAGTGTCTGCTGAGGTGATCTCTGTACATTCAAGGCCCTGTCCTGATGACATGACTCAGTCCATCTTAGAGAGGGAAAACTTGCAAGCAGCATCAACAGACATACAATGTCATGAAACCAATGTTTAGAAAGAAGCCATAGGCAGTCCAGTATTAACCTAATCTACTAATAATCTAACTATTTAGACATTTAGTTTAAAAACTATTCCTCTGCTCATAACACTTCTGACACCAAATGTGTGGGTTTTTTCCACACCAAGAACCAATTCTCTAACTTTCTGAACTGGGTGTCTTCCAATAAATACCTGAAGTTAGCATCAGACCCCACAAGATCTCAGTCTCCCAAGACTGCTTCAGACATCAGTCCCAAATCTCAGACCAACTTCTGACCAACAGGGCTATAAACTGGAGGTTACTCAGGTTTTATAACAGTTCACAGAACTCAGAGAAACACTTTACTATTACCAGTTGATTATAAGGACAAAGATGAGCAGCCAGATGAAGAGGTACATAGAGCAAGGTCCAGAAGGGTCCAAGCATAATTTATTGTTATATAACTCTTTTCATTTTTTATTTTTAAGACATTTCTATTGACAAATATAGATCTAATTCATTCATCAACTATACAGTATTCTGTCACATGTCTGATCATTCCTCTATTAATATACATTTAGATGGGTCTGAATTTTTCACTCCCAATTTCTTAAAATGCTAGCATAGAAGAGTCCAGATACAATGAAAGAGCATATGAATGAAAGCAAAATGTATTAGTTAGGCTTTGCTGTGTTACAAACCACTCCAAAACTTACTAGCTTACAAGAACAATTGTTTAGTAGCTCATGAGTCTATGGGTCAGCAATCTGGGCTGGGCTGACTTATGCAGTTGCAATCAACTGGCATCTCAGCTGGGGCTGGTTGATCTAGGACAGCCTTACATGTCTGGTAGTTCACGGGCTGTAAGCTGAGATGCCATAGTACTCCACGTGGTCTCCTCAAAAAGCTAGCTCAAGCTTGTTCATATGGTGGTCCCAGGGTTCACAGCAGCAAGAGAGAGCAAGCTCCACACAAGTGCTTTGTGAGCATACATCATATTTGTTCATTTCTCACTGGCCAAAGTATGTATTCCTGTGACAATGGCTTCATAACCCACCTCAAAACTTGGTGGCATAAAATGGGCTGGGCATGGTGGCTCACACCTGTAATCCTAGCACTCTGGGAAGCCAAGGCAGGAGGATCTCTTGAGATCAGGAGTTCAAGACCAGCCTGAGCAAGAGTGAGACCCCATCTCTACTAAAAATAGAAAAAGTAGCTGGGCATGGTGCTGTGTGCCTGTAGTCCCAGCTACTCAGGAGGCTGAGGCAAGAGGATCACTTAAGTCCAGGAATTTGAGGTTGCAGTGAGCTATGATGATGTCACTGCACTCTACCCGGGGCAGTGAAACTGTCTCAAAAAACAAAAACAAAAAAGAAACTTAGTGGCATGAAACAATATCAGCATTTATTTTGCTCACAGGTCTCCAATACAGGCAGTGCTCAGTGGGGACAACTCATCTGTGCTCCAGTCCACACCAGCTGGTGTGGCTTGAAGACTGGGGGCTGGAGTTACTTGAAGGCTTGCATATCACATGTCTGGCAGCTGATGCTGTCACCTGAGACCTTAGTTGGGGCTAGTGACCAGAACACCTACACGTGACTTCTCTATGGATCATCTCACAACATAGTGACTGAGTTCCAAGGGCGAGCTTTTGTCTCATCCTAGGCCTGTAATCCTAAATCTTCCAATTATGAGAAGATAGAAACCATCTACTTGGCAGAAAGCATTAATGACACCCTGACA